GGCAATGGATCTGAAAAGACACATGCAAATGGCCAGTAAACACACTAAAAGATGCTCAGTATCGTTTGTCATCAGGAAAGTGCAAATGAAATCAATAATGAGATAGCCATCACAACTACTCGGATGGCTATAATAAAAGATAGGTAATATCAAATTTTAGTGAGGATATGGAAAAATTAGAAGTCTTGTATACTACTGATGGAAATGTAAAATGATGTAGCCACTTTGTAAAACGTTTTGGCAGTTCCTCAGAAAGTTAAATATAGAATTATATTTGACCCACCAATTCTGCTCCTAGGTATATACTTAGAAGAACAAACTAAACAAAATGTGTAGACAGATATTCTTCACAACATCTTTCTAATAGCCAACAAGTAGAGACAACCCAAATGTTCCATCAACTGATGAATGGATGAACAAAATGTGGTATATGTATACATGGAATGTTATTTGTCCATAAAAGAAATGAAATACTGGTACATGCCACAATATGAATGAACCTTGAAAGCATTAAGATATATATATATATATATATATGTGTGTGTGTGTGTATATATATACAAGTGTATATGTATATATACATATGTGCTGCATATATGTATGTATATACTAATACATATGCTACACACATGCTACATGTATATGATACATACACACACACACACACACACACACGCACATACATATTTTTTGAGACGGAGTCTCACTCTGTCGCCCAGGCAGGAGTGCAGTGGTGCCATCTTGGCTCACTGCAACCTTCACCTCCCAGGTTCAAGCAATTCTCTTGCCTTAACCTCCCTAGTAGCTGGGACTACAGTCACTCGCCACCATGCCTGGCTCTTTTTGTATTTTTAGTAGAGATGAGGTTTCACTGTGTTGGCCAGATTTTTTCTTAAGAGCCGGGTTTCGCTGTGTTGCATGTGTTGGAATGCAGTGGTGCTATCACAGTTCACTGTAGCCTCAAACTCCTGGGCTCAGGTACTTTCCTGCTTCAGCGTCTCAAGACTCTGGAACTACAGCACATGCCACCATGCCTGGCCTTTTCTTTTTTTAAGTTTGTTTTTAGACTTGGGGTCTTGCCGAATTACCCAGGGTGGTCTTGAACTCCTGGCCTTAAGTGATCCTCCCTGCTCAGCCTCCCGAGTGTCTGGGATTACAGGTGCATGCCGCCATGCCTGGTTCTCATTATGATATATCAAAGAAGTACAGTTTCCATATTTGTAATATGGAGTCATATAATACTCTATATTACAAAATGGAATATTGTATGATTCCATTTATGTGAATTGTCCAGAATAAGCAAATCTGTAGAAACAGAACTTAGATTAGTGTTTGCCTAGGGCTAGAGGGTCAGGTATGGAGCTAAGAGACAGGGAGAGCGATAGAGAGTATGGGTGGCTTTTTGTATGATCAAAATGTTCTAAAATTGATTGTGGTAATGTTTATGTAGCTTCATGCATTATACTAAAAGCATTTAATTGTATACTTTAAATCAATGAATTGTTTAGTAGGTGAGTTGTATTTCAATAAAACTGTTACAAACATACAAAAAAGAATATTCTAAAGTGCTTTTATTCATAATAGCTTCCAAGTGTTCATCAGTGGAAGAATGGATGACCAAATTGTGATATACTCCTACCATGTAACATTACTCAGCCATGAAAAGAAACAAACCACTGATAGAATGAATGAGTCACAAAAAATCCTGAGCAAAAAGCTACATATGAAAGAATATATGCTGTGTTATTTCTTTGGTTTAAGAACAGACAAAATGGCTGGGCCCAGTGGCTCATGCCTGTAATCCCAGCACTTTGGGAGGCCGAGGTGGGAGGATCACCTGAGGTCAGGAGTTCAAGACCAGCCTGACCAACATGGAGATACCCTGACTCTACTAAAAATACAAAAAATTAGCCAGGCTTGGTGGCACATGCCTGTAATCCCCAGCTACTTGGGAGGCTGAGGCAGGAGAATCACTTGAACCCAGGAGGTGGAGATTGTGGTGAGCCGAGATCGCACCGTTGCACTCCAGCCTGGGCAACAAGAGCGAAACTCCGTCTCAAAAAAAAAGTAACAAATTGTGATAAATCAGAACTTGATTACTTCTGGTGGGATCAGGGGCAAGGGTAGTACTGATAGGAACGGAGATAAAATAACTTGGGGATTGTGATAGAAATGTTCTCTATCTTGATTCAGGATTTTGTGGACGTAAACGTTTGTTTAAATTCATCAAACTGAGTACTTAAGAAAAGTGTATTTTATGTTTGTGAAATAGAGCTTTTAAAAAAATGGCCTTAAGGCTTTGAGTTGACATTACAGAAACTTTTATAGGGCCAAAGATATTGTAAGGTCTGAATGATACTTTGGAGCTGGGATTGAGCCTCTGTTACATAGTCCGAGTCCTTCAAACCTTCAAAGTTATGGAACTTTTCTGTCACTAAAAAAATTGTTGAAAAATTCTGGTCCTGCGTAAGAAAAAACGAGGAACCTTAGCAATCTGTGTTAGGCCTTAGATAAGGTTATAAAGAAGTTAGCTTTAAAAAAAAATCAATGCCCTACATCTGCACCATATGTGAGTATGGGTTCTGAATTTATACTTTGTGTTTGGTGCATAATGTCAAACTAAGAAATTATCATCAAAACCAGTCCAGCAACTAGCATAAGCAAATACTAAATAAATCTCTTTTAAGAGTTGATGATCAGTAGGCCGGGAGCAGTGGCTCATCCCAGCACTTTGGGAGGTTGAGGCAGGCAGGTCACGAGGCCAGGAGATTGAGACCATCCTGGTCAACATGATAAAACCCCATCTCCACTAAAAATACAAAAATTAGCTGGGCATGATGGCACACCCCTGTAGTCCCAGCTACTGTGGAAGCTGGGTCAGGAGAATTGCTTGAACCTGGGACATGGAGGTTGCAGTGAGCCGAGAGTATACCACTGCACTCCAGCTTGGTGACACAGTGAGACTCCGTCTCAAAAAAAAAAAATAGTTGATGAGACTCCTTAGAAAATAATCCCCACTGAAAATATAAACAATCCTAGGAAACCAAACTACCTTGGCAGGGGTTTGGTACATAAAACAAGGAATATCACTTTAAGATTTAGAAATTATATCATAAAACAAACAAGGAATATCACTTTAAGATTTAGAAATTATATCACAGTCTGGAAAACAATGTTCAAAATTATAAAAAGGTATAGAAAGCAGAATGAAAGAACAGGAGAGAGGTTAAAGAAACTAATCTAGGCATGGTGGTGAGACAAAGCAGTCACAGATACAAAAATACCCATATTTAAATGGCACTGCCACCATTTATTAGATGAAATAGAAAATAGAGTTTGGTGGTTGTAGTAATGTTGACTGATTTTTTAAAACTCTACATAATAATTTAGTGTATTTTAATATCTTGAGCTCTTATACAGAATACTTTAACACATAATATTCTTGAATTATTTTTGACTAGCAGATTATCAGATTAGCTGTTGAAAGGCATGATTGTTTAGTGATAACTTCTTCAATTTACAATTTGAATGGAGTCTGACTAGAACTCACTGAGTGTTTTTTCCTCAACTGGTCCCCTTCAGCTGACTGCCAAACCAAGTGCTGTGGAGTCTGAGGCCTAAGCTTTCTTTCTCCAAGCAATCCATCAAGGGGGATTACTGGTAATAATGAGAATAGAGTATTTTTATCGAGGTATCTTTTGAGTAAGAAATGAAGTTAAGCTCGGTTATACTTCTCTTTTTAAAACATTCAACCTTTGTACCTATTGACTTTTTGTATTGTACAAATAATATAGTATTTTACTAGTTTAGTTACTTTTTATTATGAAAAATATTTCAAATTCACTTTATTTTTTAAAAGCCTGTTTCTGTGTATAGTATTATATGATTTATGGTATTAGATTCCCTCTGCATTGCTATATATGGCTGCCTATTCTCTGCATATATAAATTCAATTTAGAGAATTAGAACGAGACTAAAATATGCCCTACAAACCTCTTTGAATCAGTATGAGACTGTTTAACTTTTAAACTTATTCTACTATGAGATTTTTCCAAAGATTGTTCTCTTGTATCTCATTCCTAATTATACAGTAAAATGCAGTAATAGAACTTCAGTTCATTTTAATGTGTTACTTAATTTGCCTCTATGTTATTATGCACTTTGTCTTCTAAAAGCAAACTTACTTAAATTTGAACATTATACCCTAACTCCAGAGGTGATCTCTGAATAAATGATACACAACCACCACTCTAAAGCCTGGAAACTCTTTATTGCTAATATTTATGGCACTCATCTCCCATTCACTTTATTGCTTAAGTACTCACCTTAAATAACACTGATCTGGGGCTTTGGTCTTTACTTGAATGTGCTCTCTTCTTTTTTTCACTGGTAGCTGATTTTTATCCTACTTTCCTAAGAATTGATAATGAGGTACAGATTCTTCAGCTTTGTTTTCAAATTTGTAATTACAGAAGTGCTGCTGGGCTTTCCTGCTCTATGGTGCTTTTCTTCATATTTTCATTATTGACACACTTGTTGAAATTCCTACAAGTGTGGTTAATTGCAGGATTTGTGAAAGAATTGTTTAACTTTCAGTAAATTATTTTGGGTATATTTCTCTTCGGGGTTCCATCAGTGTTGCCAACTATATGTTAATTATGTTTGAGACCTGATAAAAATGAGTCTATTTTTAAAAAATAAATCTTACAAATTGCTTTTGAATTTTTGCTTGTATTGAGAAATTTTTAATATGGTGTTAACTAACAATTTTTTGAGTACTGAAAAAGACACTTTGAATATCTGAAAAGACCTTTATTTTTTCCTATTATTTTTAAGCATTTTCCTCAAAATAATTGGACATTCACATATAACCTCTATTATTTGATACATTTTTATACACCCTTAAATAGTTGGCAGCATTGTCCTTGATTCTCTGTTGGTTTGGGCTTATATAATGTCTTTTTCTTTTCTCCATTTTTTTTTTTTTTTTGCTTCCTAAGGACATGATGATACAGCGCCATGTGCAATTTTGAAAAGTATGGATAGTTTTAGCTTTCTCCAACACCCAGTCCACCAGAGGAGCTTAGAGATTCTGCAGAGATGCAAGGAAGAGAAGTACAGTAAGGCTACAAATCCTGATAAACTGTTATCACATATCCATTTGGAAATGGAAACCAGGAGCATCTTACACCAGGGTGGGATATAGATTTCACAGGCAACATGGCCTCCATAAACCTCTGAGCAGTCTTTGAATATTTCTGTTGAGTCTTCAGTAGTTTCTTTTGAAAATACTGATAAACTTTTTTTTAACTGTGGTGACTTTTCTGTTTGCCTGTGATCATTGGATTGTTAATTATACTTGGTTACAGTCACTGGATTGGTTTCTGTTTGTCTTTCAAGTAGCCAAGTGATGGATAGGAATCAACAATGTTTTCTTTCCTGCTCATTAAAAAAAAAAAAAAAAAAAAAATTAAGGTCTAATTGAAGTAAAAAACTGAATGCAAAGAGAACAGTTTGGTAAGTTTTGACGTATGTAGGCACCCATGAAATTATCTCCAGAATCAAAATAATGAATATGTTCAGCATTCCCAAAAAGTTTTCTCATACCCCTTTCTAAATCTGGCTGATTTTTGTGTTTGCTTATGCTTGAATTTCAACATTAGCAAATGTTATTTTTGTGTATCATTGGTAAATCCACTTAGTTTGATTGCAGTGCTTCAACCAGCCTTTCCTATGTCTGGTTTAGAGCAAAGCCACCGCATTAATGTTTTGACTTGAGGAAGAATAACAGAATCATGGTGCATGTTCTTTTGTTTGCTTTTTTATAAAATTGGTGTAAAAAGATGCCCTTGGTCTCCATTTCCTTTCTTGCTCTTTACTTGTTGTACTCATTCTGCATGAAAATTGATTCTTTTGCCAGTTGTAAGATTAGTTACTATTATTGAGGCACTGCTGTTGTGAGAATAAGTGGATCCTTCAAAATACTCAAAGACAACTCAGCAATTTGCATATAATGGACCTACATAATCTGTTCTGAGCTTTTAATAAATTACCACTGATTTAGTTTGCTAATTTCACAGTTTTCTGGTTGAAATTCCATGAAATTTTACTATCCAGTTGTCAGTGAGAGAATATAAGTAGAATTCCTAAGAGCAAATGTTGTGGATTCTTTTTCAATTCCTGTTACCGTCTTGGTTAAAAAAAAAGGGTGTGTAATGTATTTTGAAAAACAGTATTTAAAGTATTTTCTCATTTTAAGAAGAACAAAGGTAAGTGTTGCATTTTAAAAAGACATCCTTAATATTATTCTTAATTGTTGCTGGTGTTTCTGAGAGGAATGTAACAAATCCTCATTCCAGTTATTCATCTTCCTATTCTGTCTTTTAATCCATGGGACATTATTTAAAATAGTCTATAAATCATTTTGGGGAGCTTAAATTAATTTCTCTTAATTCTTTAAATAGTTGCAAATGGTTTATTTGCTTTGTTTTTTCATGACTCAGCCTACAACCCCAGACCTGATTGTATGCCAGCTACATATGGATCTTGACTAGGAAGGCACCAGTTTCAGCATAGGCTACATGAAGAAATTGTGCGTCTATGTGTGTTTACTTGCAAATTTCTACTTTTGTGAACGTTGGAGCTCTTCCATTATTTTATGTAATTTATTCCATTTTCCACTATAGTATTAGCAATATACTAATTATAAAAAGGTATCACATTATAAATTTTATTATATGTAAAATTGTAAATTCAAGTTTTGGAAATTGTTCTTAAGAAAACGGGACTACCAGCTTTAGGTAGTGGTGAATTGGTGAGGTGAATGAATCCTCCCACAAGTAACAGCGATAAAACCTGAAAAAAAAATTTTTAAATAACCGAGTATTTGAAAGTATGGGAAAAAGACCAAAAGTAGGCAGAAAGTAGGGAAAAGTTTATTCTTTAAAGGTAGTAAAGCAGTGGGTAAGAATTGTGAATTTGTCGCTTTTTATACAAGGGGTTTTCCTAACTTGCATGGTTTCAGAGATAGAAAACAACCACCACCACCATACTGGCTTATTATGTTGGAAGACTTTCAGAGCAGCTTGGAGTTTAGGAGGAAAATCCTGGAACTGAGAGAGCTGCTAAAGGGCTAAAACACAAATTAAAGTATGAACTCTGCACAAATCCCTGGCTGACTGCTGTGAGTATGCAGGGAAGACCCCAGGAACCGTATTTAAAAAAAAAAGTGGAAACCAAATAAAAGATAATCCTTGAAAGACATAACTATAATAGCTGAGATTTGCAACTTTACTGCTTTTTAGAAAAACTGAGGAAATTTTCTGCCTGTGCTTAGCTTGTGTGGGAAAAACAAGTCTTTTTGCCTTAATTGGAGTCCCATAGGAAATGAGAGATAAAGGAGTCGGAAAATTATTTGAAGACAGTGGCAGAAAACATCCCTTATTTGGTTAAAAAAAAAAAAAAAAAAAAAAACCCAACATAGTGAAACCCTGTCTCTACTGAAAATACAAAATTTAGCCAGGCATGGTAGTGCACACCTGTAATTCCAGCCTCCTCGTGTGGCTGAGGCACAAGAATTGCTTGAACCTGGGAGGTAGAGGTTGCAGTGAGCTGAGATCACACCCCTGCACTCCAGCCTAGGCAACAGAGCGAGACTCTGTCTCAAAACAAACAAATACTAGCTTACAGATCCAGGAAGATCAGTGACCACAAAGCCGGATAAATATGAAGGAAAACTACACCTAGGCACATTATAGATTAAAATGTTAAAGGTAAAGAGAAAATCTTGAAAGCAGCCTGGAAAATATGTACATATTAAATACAGGGGAATAATGAGATGATTAACACCTGACTTCTCAGTAAAAATAATGGGAGGCCAAAAGGTGTCAAAAAATCATGTTTAATGTGTCATGTCCCCCACCTCCCCCAAAAAAATCTGAGCCAGAATTTCTATATTTGCAGTTTGGGTCCAGACAAGTTAACTGATAGAAGAAAAATTAACAATCTTTAGAAGAACCTAACAGTATCCACTGTTGCTGTGATGTGTTATCCACAATGTCCTGTTATCATGTAGCAAAAGTATCCTTCAAAAATGAAGGTGAAATACATTTTCAGACTAATGGAGTCTGAGAATTTGTCACCATATGCATTCTATGGGAAATGATAATAGAAATTCTTCATGCTCAAGGGAAATCATCCCAGGATCGTAACTTGGGTCTATAGTAGGGGTTGGCAAAATTTTTCTGCGAAGAGCAGACAGTGAATATTTTAGGCTTTGTAGGCCAGTATGGTTTCTGTTGCAGCTACTCAACTCTTCTGTGAAGGGAGCTATAGACAATACATAAATAAATGAGTATAGCTGTGTTCCAATAAAGCTTTATTATGGACATTGATACTTAAATTTCAAAAAATTTTCACATGGTACAAAAATGTTCTTTTTCTCCTCAGTTAAAAACTATATAAGCCATTCATAGGTCATACAAAAACAGGCAGTGGGTTTGGTTTAGGCCATGGACTCTAGTTTGCTGATACATGCATGAATTACTGGCAGGAATAAAGAAGGCACAACTAATAAATATGTATAAAAATATAAATGACTACACATATTTTCTTGCCTTCTCTTAATTAAAAAAAGACTGTTTAAAGTAAAAAATCTGACATTATTTTGACGGTTTAAAATATGTCCACAAATTGATACTCCCCCCTTCATAAGGCATGTGCTGTACTTAGTGACTTGCATCCAAGAAATGGAATGTGGCAGAAGTGACAGTGTGTGACCTTCAATATTAAGACATAAAGATATTGCGGCCTTTCCTCCTTCTCTTTGTTTCTGGTGCTCCCGCCTTCTCTCCAAAGTGGCTCTTCTCTGAAATTTCTTAGGGAGGAAATTAGAGGAGTGAGGAGAAATTGAAGTTTTGGGGAGCATGAGCTATACCCCACTCCAGAAATGACAGGAGCCCTAGAAAGAAGGAATCAGATGGCAGAAGGAGAACGGGTAGAAAAGAAGAATCTGACTTTAATTTGCACCCATTCTTTTGGCCTTCAGTTCCGTTTGGGATGATTGAGAATATAATGTGCATCAGCAAGATGAAGGATCAGCAATTGCCAGGGAAGGGCTGAGGGCTTACTCCACCTCATTACTCTCACCTTGCTGACAGTGCCTATTTTAATGTCCCTAACCTCAGGTATCAGTATGGTCATTCAGATGATTGAAAATTTAGTGGATTGTCTGATCAAAATGGAATTAAATGCAAATCAATAACAGATATATCTGAGAAACCTTCAAATATTTGAAAAATAAAATGTATATGTAACTAATGAGTTGAAAAAATTTCATAAGGGTAACTTGGAAGTTTTTTGATCTGAAAGATGATGGAAACACAACATATTACAACTTATGGACTACAAATGAAGAAGTACTTAGGAGAAAACTTACAGCTTTAAATTCTTAAATTAGAAAAGTAAGGTAAAATAATCAGTGATTTAGGCTTTCACTTTAAGCTAGGAAGAAAAGAGCATATTAGACTCCAAATAAATAGAAGGAAGTAAATAAAACTTTTTTTTTTTTTTTTTTTTTTTTTTTTCTGAGACAGAGTCTGGCTCTGTTGCTCAGGCTGGAGTGCAGTGGCACCACCTTGACCCACTACAACCTCTGCGTCCCAGGTTCAAGTGATTCTCATGCCTCAGCCTCCCAAGCACCTTGGGCTACAGGTGGATGCCACTGTTTTGCTTTGTTTTGTTTCGTATTTTAGAGATAGGAGCTCGTTTTGTCATGCAGGCTGGAGTGCAATGGCACAATCATGGCTTGTTGCAGCCTTGACCTCCTCGGCTCAAGTGATCTTCCCACCCCAGTCTCTCAAGTAGCTGGGTCTACAGGTGCATGCCACCATGCCCTGCTAATTTTTAAATTTTTATTTGTGGAAATGGAGTCTCACTGTGTTGTCCAGGTTGTTCTCAAACTCCTGGCTTCAAGCAATCCTCCTGCCTTGGCCTCCCAAAGTACTAGGATTACAGATGTGAGCCACTACATCTGGCCTAAAGCTGGTTTTTTGAAAAGAACAATGAAGCTGATAAATTTCTAGCCCAGCATGGTGCAGTAGAACTTTCTGCGATGTGGAAA